GGCGGACTTTTTGTGTGGTGATAAAATTTTTTCGAGAATTCTAACTTTCATTGAATATGAATAAATGTATCTTAAACCTTTTCTTGTGTGTAACGCAGATGAAATTCAATATATATTTTAATAAAATATAATGTTTTAGTTGTAAACCGCCTTAAAATTGGTGAAAAATATCTATTTTGTAGTTTTTTTTTATCTACAAACGTACCCCTCCCCCCCCCCCCCCCGTCAAACACAAAAAGCTTTGGTATGACTTTGCGAAGCTACAGTGTCCATATTGCCTGTCAAAAGGAATATTTTCACGGGGAAAGCTATTTTAAAAAAAAATCAGTTTTCCATTATTTTTACAGTGAAAAACACAAAATTCACCATAATTTTAGTGTTACATCTCCTTGTTTTCCCAAACAAGTAATGATTAATTGAAATTTATATAAATATCTATAAAAAAAACTCTTCAAAATTGACTTGGAGGTAGGCGGGAGAACAATGCTATCATTTGCACTTATTTAGGAGACCTATTTTTATTCAGATGAAGCAGAATTTGTGCAAAATATTATGCGTGAAAAGAAGAAAAACATTTGCTGTGGCCTTCAACTCAACATTTCAATATTTCGATGACGTATTGTCAATTAATAATGGTCATATCCATTCTTACGTCGTTACGATATATCCTGGTGAGCTTCAGATAAAAGATACCACAGAATCAGACACATCTGTTTCATACTTGGATATTTTACTTGAAAAAACCTTAATGGTAATCTAAAAACCAAGCTATATGATAAACGTGATGACTTTATCTTTTCAATCGTCAGCTTCCCTTACTTATGCAGCAACATACCTGCATACGGAGTGTATATATATCTCAGTTGCTTCGATACGCAAAAGCTTGCTTTAAATATGAACAATTTCTAAAACAAGGTAAACTATTGCCAAACAAGTTGATGAAACAAGAATATCAACAGTCCCGTTTTAAGTCATAATTTTGTAAATGCTATGGTCGATACAATGACTGACCTTGTCAGCAAATGCAATTTCTCATTCAAACAAATGCTGACTGACGTTTTTCATGCTAATTGTTTGTCCACACTAAATAGACGGATTTTTCCGTTATTTCCCGATCATGACAAGGAACACACGGCTGTTGTGACTGGTCAGCAGGGGATGCTCACTAATCCATGGCACATGATCTCACCTCTGATGTTTTGGAGGTCTGTGTTTGCTCTCCTTCTATTTGGTATTTTTTTGGGACTTTGATTTGGAATATTGTTCGTTATCTCTATATCCTTCTCACAGAAAATCTTTGTATACAGAGAATAATACGTACTCTTTTCCGAATCTCATCCTGTGTCAGCTCGAGACACCAATATCAGCCAGAGGGCCGAAGGCTGATACAGGATGTGATTTAGAAAAGGATATGTTATACAATGTTTATATGGGTATGTTTTTTAGGTTTATTACACACTAAGTAATAAAATACAGAACAATAAAGTTCTTAAATGTACACGGTCTGTTGTCTCATACGGTTTGGGTTTGTGTCTACATGCACTTCTACTTCAAATGTCTCTGATCCGTGATTTTAAAATACTAGTAATCTATTATTCATCAATAAGATTATCCTTACATTCAAAAAGTTAAACTTAAGAAGATTATGTAACCCCTAAAATATTTGTATGATCACAAGTACTGTTTTACGGTTAACTTACTAAAGTTGTGATATTGATCCGTATCAGCCCTGCAGGGCTGATAACCTATATCAGCCCCGCAAATCCATATCAGCCCTGCGGGTCTGATAAGGCTATTGTTACGTCGGCCATATCGCATATGCAAGAATCCTGTATTTATAACTAAGTATGTGATAAACAGTGCATAGGATTTCTTTAAATCCTCCCTTTTTGAATGTAAATTTAATATGGACAGAATGATATCCATTTTATATCAATTGGTATCTAAGTTACTGGATATGAAAACGTCCCAGTGTTTAATATCTTGATCCAAAATTATATAACTTCTGACCTTTCAAGAGGGAAATTTTAGGATAAAAAAGTCAGATTCTTATGACAATCATCTGTATCTATTTAACTTGGGAGGCGAAAGTTTAGATTTTGTTTTTATACAATTAAAAATATATACACTAGGTGTAAAAAAAAAATTATTCCAGCTGTCGATTCTCCTCCGAGCAATCTGAATGGATTTTTCTGTCTTCGGGTAATAATTATGATAATTATGACCAAATGCCAGGATCCGCGTTGTGGTACCTTCCCATACATACGACAAGGAAAAAGTTTCAACTTTAACGGGAAACAGTTTACTGTTAATAATAACATATCATGTCAAACTAGAAATGTTATATACGTTATAACATATTCCGTTGCGGGGAACTATATATCGGCGAGACGGGAAGTACCTTACGGGAAAGGATCAGAGTACACAAACAGCAAATAAACGTACCGCAATATCGCAAACTTAAAGTCAGTGAACACTTAAACGTGTGTGGAAATAGAACATTTACTGTCTTTCTATTTTATAAACTGCACAACTCTAGCACAATCGAAAGACGTGATAAAGAAAGACATTTTATAAAGACTTTCAAACTTAAATTTAATAGTTTTATGTAAAAGAATTGTTTCTTTACATGTAAATTATGTTACTGAGTCACATTTATTGCTTTGTTATTGTATGCTTTGTTAATGCATTGTTCTGTGAAAGTACGGGAAAAATATGACGTCAATCAGAGACTTGTAAGCGTTAAGTTATTATGACGTCATAATAGACGTTACCATGAGTATTGTTAAACATCAAGAAGAAGAAATGAAAGCGCATATGTTTTACTCGTTCTCTGTGTTTTTATTTATTTAAGATAATTTTCATATTTATCACCGACCAATGTGATTATTCTTGGATTCATATATATATATATATATATATATATATATATATATATATATATATATATATATATATATATATATATATATATATATATATATACACCATCTAGAAATGAAGGACTGAGTTATGCCCCACAATCCATGCCTGAGACACGAGTTCCCATCGGATTAAGGAATGTTTAATTTTCCAGAACCCATGAATAAAGAAGATATCGGTATCTTGACCATAACTCCTGGTGGTATTTTCAACATGCTTACTGACCTGAAAAGCTACAACACCAGTGAATTTCTTTGCAACGTAAGAGATTTCAAGATTAGAAGTCAAAGTGAACAACAGGCAAAAGAAATGAGAAGAGCCTCTTACCAGAAAGACACAGGGGCTACAAAGAAAACAAGAGAAACAGACCCATATTCTATATGTATAGAATTAGGTCAATGGACCCCAGACTGTCACAGAAACAAACAGGAGTGGTGCTACAAGTGTTGAAAAAAGTAAGACATTGGGCCGTTAACTAGAAAAACTTGAGAAAAAACCTCAGGAACACAAGACTCAAAAACAAAAAAACCACCCACTAGAAACACAAGAAGATTCCCAACACCAACAAGAGGAAACTTTCCAAGACAGAAAACACTCTGTAAAAAAAGTAATTATATACGAGGGTCATTCAAAAAATACGTAGACAATGCTTATCATCGTCATATAATTATTACAAGATTATAGATCAACACATTTTCGTAAACATAAACATTTATTTTGGCGAAACTTGTGAAGTTTCATTCCATTTGATTAAACAGAACTCACGTTAACCAAAATTAAAAGAAACATGTTTTGTTACCACGGAGCACGGTTAACCAATATTGTAACGTCAAAAACAACGCTGAGAAAGTTTGTCAAAAGTATACGCATTTTGTTATTTCAAACACGGTTTGTTACGTCTTCTCCATTCAAAACACATATCCTCAATACTTAACACCTGGTTTGCTAACAATTGTACAAATATAGCTTGAATTAGAATGTTATTGTTTTCAAATTCTTTGATTCACCATGCAACTTTATCATTTTTGCAACATTGGAGCACACATCACGTTCAATGACGTTCCTAACTCTTTTGACAATATTTTTAACTTTAACCAGTTTCTTTGCAGACAATCCATCGTCCGATTCAAACTCACTACCACTCAAAAATTGTACTTTCAACTTAATACAAATACACAGATATTTTTCATACAGATTCTGATTTATAAGGATTTTTTTAAGCTTGTAGAAAAAGTTTCCCGAATGTAAAGTCTAATTTTATTGCTACTTGCTGCTCCGTGACGTCCTCCAACTTCATGGTTTTTTGCCTTTTTTAATCAAGTCCATATGTATTTAGAAGCTGATATCTTTTAAATGGAACGAGATATTACATAACCTTATTTTATTTTAATTAATACAGCAATACTTTATTTAAACAGGTAAATTTTATTTCGTTTCAGCTCCATTTATTAGAGATATAGCTGTAAATACTATAAATTGAAAATTAGAAAATTACTCAATTTTGACGGTGCTCCGTGACCCCATTTTTGCTGTTCTAAATCCTTGGTAATTGTAATAAATATGAGGATACATTCCAATAATTTTACACAAATTATTTGAATCTGTTTTTAAAATATTTGTACCAAAATTGGATATCATATGACGTTAAATAAAAACGTTAGGACAAAAGTCTACGAACTTTTTGAATGAACCTCGTATATACATGTACTCGTATTTTGCTTTGAATAAATTTTTTTTCACAGTGTTATTTTTTTCTCAGAAAACAGAGGCTATAAATGACATGACGTCACAAACAAAGTTTTGATTCAATGCCAAAATGTAGCACAAACGAACATAACTAATGCTTAAGCTCTAAGGTAAAATCTAAGGAGTTTACTATTCACCAATCTAAGTTCTAGGTCGATCCCCCAAATTCCCCAGACTTCACTCATTTTACCCCCCTTTTCAGGATCTGGGGGGGGGGGGGGGGGGGGGGGGGGGGGGTAAAAGTGCACCAGTGGACCACCCTCCAGCACAGCTGCTTATACAACTAATGGTCAATTCCAAATAATTTTAGCATGAAAATTAATTTTTTGTAGAGTAAATGCAACTCCATATTCTTCTTCTTGGTATGGAACAGGGTCAGGGCCGATCTGGCTTACCGATGTCATATGCAATGGTACAGAGGTGAGCATATCAATGTGTTCACACTCTCATTGGGGAGATACTAGTGGTGAATGCAGCCATGACCAAGATGTAGGAGTACATTGCTCAGGTACATAGTTTGTATTTAATGACTTTGTCGTAGACATTATTTATTTTCTGGCAAGGCTTAAAAGGATTTCTAATGCAATTGTTTTGTTAAATATGATTTGATTGGCTACTGCACTGATGTTTGAAGCAGTAAAATGGGCATTAACAAGAGTGAAAGATTTTCATTGTGACATTATAATAGAGCAAAGCAAAACCTCAATGCTCTGTTACGTATTTCATATACAAAATTCAACAAAATAAGACGTAAAGACGTAAACAACATCAAAATGGATTGATTGCATTTGAATGGAATCCACTGTTTTCCATTTCGGTATTTGCGACCAAAACGCTTTCTCGTCCTCGGTAAAACTCTGTTTGCGACCGTCAAATCAGCAGTATTGCGGTCGCTGATATCAAATTAAAAGAGAGTTATTCCCTTAATTTTGCCTCTGAACATTAAAAATGTTAAGTTACTGCTTTAAATACATCGTTTGTGTGCAGTTTAAAATTGTAAACACATTTCTTTTTTTAATCTGTTAAAGAACTTCATTGACGTAAACTTGATTAGAACTTTTTGATCGGTCGTTTACAAACATGTTAGTGTTAATTTGGTCATTTATTTAGAAATGTGTTCTTTATGAAACTTTGTAGCAAGCGTTATGATATTTAGGCTTGTTAGATAAATGTATCTGTTTATTCGTTTTCCTTCAAGGGTGTATAAAAGGACATTTTAATTAATCTAGCCTATTAGATAAATTATAGTTAAATCATTTCTTTATACACATCCTGAATTGCAGAGTTTTTACATTCAAAGCTCAGCATGATTTTTGAAAAGAAATTTCGCTTTATTTTCTTTTATAACTTCAATTTTTCAGACCACTATATAAGCCATTCATTCGGTCACAGTTTAGTTTTCACCAGTGTAGACAGACTTTCTCTACATGATAGGAAAAAGAGATAACGAACAGTATTCAATATCAAAGTCAATAAAACAATACAAATAGGAGCAGAGCAAACCTCCGAAACATCAGAGGTGGGATCAGGTGCCATGGAGGAGTGAACATCCCCTGCTGACCGGTCACACCCGCCGTGTGCTCCTTGTCATGATCGAGAAAATGACGGAAAAAATCTTCGTTAATTCAGTGTATAAAAAATGAACTAACAAGTAGTAAGAATAAAAGGTCAGTCAGCATTTGACTCAATGTTTAATTGTATTTGCTGTCAAGACCATTGTATTGACCACAGAACTTACGAAATGATGACTTTAAACAAGACTGCTGATATTCGTGTTTCATCAACTTGCTTGTCAATAATTTACCTCATTTTTAGAAATTGATCATACGAAGAGTGTATACTCTTGCGTATCGAATCAAATGAAATATATACACTTTGTATGCAGGTGATGAAGGTATATTGCTGCAAAAGTAAGGGAAATTGACGATAGAAAGTTAAAGTCATCACGTTTATCATTTAGTTTGGTTGTAAGATTACCATTAAGGTCTTTTCAAGTAAAATATCCAAGTATGAAACAGACGTGTCAGACTCTATGGTATCTTTTATCTCAAACTCACCAGAATCATATGGAAATTATCATTGTAATATAAAAATGTCTGCTGTAAACGGAGCGCGATTGGTACCCATGGGAATTTCGAAAGATATCTGGAATACCTGCGCAAGTGAGTTAAGGCTACATATTGAGGTTTCTATGCAAAATATCTCAATAAATTCAATAATTACTCTACCTACCGAAAAGAAAATATTTTTTTCTAATACATTGTGAGTATCCACGACATGCGATAGCCAGTACACATTATGGCGTCATATTATGATGTCATCGACCTCTACTATACAAATTTATAACAAAAATAAACAAAATCGTTATGCGCAAGGGCATACCTTACTTTGTTTTACAGAAACAGGGTATAAAAAGACACAGGATATTCCAAGGATGTAAGGTATTGCTGCACAAATGTCGACACTGCAATTGCTTAGTTACTATTTGTGCAGTTTTAAGCTTACACAGGGTACAAATTCACGGTCCAGTGTAAGTTTTCTAAACTTTTTATGAATTTAGAAAGTGCATAGTATTTTAACAGCAATTCTAAAAATTTTCTTCTTAATATTATACATTATTTATTTCAAATTTAATAGGATATATCCTTGCGCCGACGTTGTTTTGTTGATGTGTTTTATTACCTTGAATAAGAGAGAATAATGACGTCATCATTGATGGCGATGTAAGTTGTTACTCATTATCAGTTCAGGGAATGGAAACACTTCTGGTGATCATAAAAAGTGATAAGTATACCTTGTACAATTTACGTTTCATATATTAAGTTTAGTCCCATAGTTTATTTTCTCGTAGATCGGAAATTGTTATTAATAAAAGCAATGATAAATTCGTAAAATACTGCAAAAGCAATCAATTACATCATTAGTTTCCAGCGTCATCTTCATTTGTAATCATCTAATTTACTGCTATCACCTGTCGTATTCTTCATTTCCACGACTTCTTGTGATTTCCACAGTAATATGCTAAAACATAAACATGGTACTATCCTCTTCACAATCGCATTCTCTGAGCGAATTAATTCAGGAGTACAAACACATATGACGGACCCAAAGACACTGGATCAGACGTTTTCTCCGCCCTTGGTATCATACAATGTACCAACTTCATATAAAAATATACTTCAAATGCAGTCCACGATAAAATCCAATGTTTCCTTGATAATTGTTGCAATATTGTCCGAATTTGAGTAAAAACTTCGAAACAAATTCAGTCAATTTTCAAAATCCATAAATGGACATTTTCGGTTGGGTGAACTTCTACTGCACTACCATAATGGACAAAGAGTATGGAAACCATAAATAGCAATTATGAAATGAAAAAATAATACAAACTCGTAAGTTTAAAATGACGTTTTTTTTAATAACATTTTGTTTACAGCACCTTAAGATTTAAAGTAGTTCTGAATTGGATGAGTAACTAGGCTTTTCCTTCATCAGTGTTCTACAATATTTTAATTCAGATCATAGTGCCTTTAGTACTATTATAAACTCTGATTGAATAGCAAAAGTATATACTATGCTTTTCAATTTAATAACTGAATTTGTCACACAATATAACCCTTTTTTTAATCAGTCCTCCCCAGAACTTACACCTAGCGCCTTCATCAGCTTTGGTGCCTTTTATGTTATAAAGGTGTTATATGCAGCATGATTTTCCCTTACAAAGTCAAAAGGAGGCCTTTAATCGGTGATTCTACAAAAAATGGACCAATTCAAAATATAAAACATGAAAAAATAATTGTATCGAAAAACAAAATGAACATAATAATTCTCTAAATGACATAACAGTTTTGAAAAAAAAGTAGTGTCCACAAATCTGGCATCGTTAATTTTTTACATCGATTTTAATATTACACTGATTTTAAGGTAAGGTTACTAAGGTAAATGTTTGATCAAGCCTTATTATTTTTTAAATAACGCTGAATTTGACCATTTTTGTGTCTAATATTCAGTATGGAAAGCTAAAACACGATTTATAAAGTTTTGCGTGAATCGGAAATTAAATTAAATTTTCGGTAAAAATATACTAAAACGGAAGTTAATGATACGAAAGTTAATTTCCCAACAATAAAAGTTAAAATTTCGGCGATAGTTAAAATCAAAGCTTGTTTTAGGATATTAAACAAAAGTATGAAGCTTTCGCTTCTAAAATAAAAAAAAATGTATACCTTTAATGCAAAAACTTTCCTGAAATACCGTTACGGAAGTTTACTTAAATTTTTAAGAGAGACAACAGGTTTTCTGTAATTCATTTTGTTATTTCAAAAATGTAATCGTCTTAAATAGCTGACTAACTACTAGAATCAAAGATGGAAGGTTCCGTTGTCACTTTCAGGTAAGTTTCAGTTCTTTTTGAAATCTGCATTCTGTTCGTTTAATTTGGGGAAAAAATGGTTATTCGATTTTTATAGACATGCAATGATTTCGCATTAAAGAAGATGCATACATTTCTGTGCAAGAAGTAGTTTGATTTCATTTTATATAAGATGAAATTTTTTTTTTTAATTTATCGCAATCTGTTTCATTTGTGACTCTTACGGCTGAGAATTCCACCTTGTTATTGAAAATAAATGAAGCGACACGAAGATTTGCAGTTAAATTCGTTTTTCAACATTAAATTATTTTCTTATCGAAATTTTAACTGCAAATATATATTAGGTAAATATTTACAAAACCATGTTTGAAATCGATCATAAAATTTATACTCAAGATATTAGAACGGTGTGTTTGTATGCGACATAGAAAATCTTAATAGGTCATTATTATATAGAATGACTGTGATGCCATACATCGAACTATTGTAGAAAGATGCATCGCAAAGTTAAAAGTAAACAAAACTTTGAACAGTGTTTGGCGTCATTTCAAATTTATTCTCCCATGTGTTGTAGAATTAATTGCGGGATAAGTTTGTAGAAAAGAAGTACATGAATAAAATACATTGAATTTTGTTTGTGTGACAAATTCAGTTAATAAATTGAAAAGTATAGTATACTAGTATAAGTTTGCTATTTCATCAGAGTTTACAATATTACTCGACGATCTGAATTAAAATATTGTAGAACACTGATGAAGGAAAAGCCTAGTTAATCATCCAATTCAGAACTACATGTACTTTAAATCTTAAGGTGCTGTAAACTAAATGTTATAAAAAAAACGTCATTTTAAACTAACGAGTTTGTGTTACTTTTTCATTTCATAATTGCTATTTATGGTTTCCATACTCTTTGTCCGTTATCGATAGTGCAGTTACTGTAGAAGTTCACCCAACCGAAAATGTCCAATACGAGACAACAAACCTGACATTAACTCCATCATCATTTCTCCTGCCTTGCTACATTTTTCTTCCACGTTTGATATCTTCCAGTACCTGGCACATCCTGGTCACGGCACCAAATTGGTCTTGTGAACCAATGACAAGAGAAAGTCTTTTCTAAGAGTTTATTTAACAGTAGTGAAATTATTAGAGAATACAAATGATGATCGTATAGTGGTTTAGAGAAAGAGAGATCGAAGATCGCCATAGATCGTATTAATAATGTACAATACATAAATGGCTCTTGATCGTATAGCGTCTCACGATCCCTCCTAATACGTTGCTCCGAAGAGCCCCGCTCTGAGAAGTGCGGCCCAAATGAGGGCGAGAGAGTGAGCTAGAGCGCCTGATAAAGTTAGACTGTCATTTTTATAATGTACAATACATAATGCTCATTTACATATATGATAAACAAGGTATTCAATAAATGGGTCTAAATCCTGGAAAGAACTATATGCGGTATATTTCATATATTTGCCCCCACAAAAGGCAAATTTTGAAAACTTCCTGAAATGTGCTGAATTCAATGAATTGTATGAGAAATATAAATTAACAGAAAATATTATAGTGTCAAGGCAGTGTATTTACAATTTTTGTTTTTCTGACGTCACAAACTAGTCCGATTTTATATCCTTTTTCAGAAAGAGGACAAAATAAACAAAATTTCAACAATTTTAGCTTTAAAATTTATAGAGCGCAAGTTTGTTCAGGAACAATATTGACATATTTCATTGATATTATCATTCTACACATTATATCAAAATATTGATCCTGAACACACATGCGCTCGGTGACTTTTTCTCAAAATATCGACGAAATATGTACATTTTTCTGTAAAATTCATAAAAAACTGAAATTTACGTCATGTTTGTGACGTCATAACGTACATATGGCGTCATTACTTATGAAAATATTCAGTGCTTTGAAGTCAGCATATATTCCCCTGTTTGAGAACTTAATTAGATATCTCTCAATCAAAGTTTGATTGGGCAAATATTGGTTATTACCGAATTAAGTTCTTTGACAAAACAATTTATAATCTAAACAAAGGTTTTTGTAAACTGGTGGTCAGTGTCCTTGTATTAGGCAAAAGTAAGTATAACTTTAATATAAACTTTTATAGTTTTCAGTTATTGTTCCTGGATTGATGTCCGTAGATAGATAAATATCCTGGTATGTTTTATAGTCCTTAATCCGATTAACTTGTTTGTTTACTTTTACGGAAAAGTCTTACACTTCTGTATCCTTCTTGAATTAGGGGTCAGTGCACTCTATCATGAGTACATTTTAATAAGCTTATTTTATTTTCTTGATTAAAATAATTATCTCAAAGCCTATAGGTTTACAATTATTTTCCAATAAATCACAAACGTCATTAAAAAATAATCAGATCAGAAACACATATAAAACTTGTGAAGTTGAAATGTACATTTGACTTAAAGGTATTTGGACACAGATTTGAATTTATTATTTTCTCTATAATATTACGACTTATATATTTAAATAGCATTTCACACACAAAAAAAAAAAAATTAAAAATCTTATTTCGTTTAATAGATATTGAAATTTCAAATTTTTCGGCGGGGTTGATTGACATATCCTTGCACTCTCACAAATTTAATTTTATTCTTAATCCTAAGGAAAAGTGGCCATCTCGTTTTGTATAAATGAAAAATATTAGTATTATAATCCAGAAAATTCAGAGTAGACACGTTCGAAAGCAAAACAAACACACAATAAATTGTCAGTCCGTGCAGTTGTGATAAGCAGACGATATAAACGCACCCGGTTAATTCTAAATATAAACAATAACAGAACTCGAGCCCTGTTTACAAAAACTGTGTACATAACACGAGTGTGCTCGATTTGCTAAAATCTGTATGCATCTCTTCGTTCGGATGACGATACTTGTGAAGGTGTTTTGCTTTCTAACATTTCTACTCTGAATAAAATTATTTTTCTTGATCAAAGTTTATGTATATTTCTCATTAAAACAAATAAAAATTGCCACTTTTCCTAAAGATTAGGAATAAAGTTAAAATTTGTGAAAATGCAAGGATATGTCAATCAAACCCGCTTAATAACTTTTAAATTAAATAAGATTATTTCTAAATAATTTTTGTGTGAAATGCTATTAAAATATATAATTCGTGATAGTATACAGAAAAAATGAGAAAATATTTACTTCAAATCTGTGTCCAAGTAACTTTAAGAGTGAAATACGTATTTAAACCACATTGATGTGTCGTCTTTTGCAATTTAAACACTGTATATTGCAGAAAGTAGCTGATGAATGTAGGTTTCTAAAGCCAAGCGGGGCTGTTTCCCGAACCTCCCTCCGCCATATTTAAACTCCGAGATCTTGGTAATAAAGTGGTAAAATATAGAAATCTGATTTTGTTATATTGTATATTCAAAAAGATCTTTTAAGCTACAAACAATAAAAGGCTAATTTAAATGCAGCAAAAGCTCAAATTGTCTGCACTTTATTAACAGGTACCCGGTACGATTTACACTGTGGTGTTAAATGGAACAGCATTAACGCAGCATGGTGACTCAATTCGTTTCTATATAGAGAAACGATCAGTCATATTTGTGGGCTGCTAGTACATGTAGCAGAATAGAAATAAAGTCCTTGTTTTCGTGAATGATGCAGAATAACCTCCTCGGTCTCGAAATGTTGTTTGAAATATATAAGCCTCGGCTACGCCTCGGCTTTTATCTTTCAACAACATTCCTTGACCTCGGAGGTTATTCTGCAACATTCACGGGGACGCGGACTTTATTTCTTAAATCCTTCCAAGAATATATTCTGATTATTTACTTTTTCAGCAGGAATGCAAATATCAGATGTAGTAATGATAGTGAAAAATATCAAAACTTCTTGGAAATGAAAATGACTGCCTCCGGCAATTTTGTTCGGTGAAACGTGATTTCCACACCTCCACTGTGTCGATTGATATTGATTGACATGACAAACACGTGACTTTGTGCACTGTCTGTGAACTTGATGACGGAAAATAAAAGCCAATGGTTGCTGTCAAATGGATTTGCTAATCTAAAAAAATATTGACTACATTTACTGCTTGGAATATTTAGGAAAAATAAGAATTTTTATTTAATACAACAGATATCTGAGAATTGAGGGGGTCTCTTTCTCTCTCTCGTACATCTGTGCAATAAAAAATATGACAGCACATTACTTATTTAGTTTTCAAAATTTAATCTATTACAAATAATTTTTATGCCCTCTTAATTTCAATCATCTTGCCGAGTATAATAAAGGCCGGGAAATGTCTACATATACATGTAGAAGTTAGTTGAAATAATCATCATAGAAGAATACAAGAGACACATAACAAAGAATATTTTGCATTAGAATTGTAAAAAACGATACGTTTTCTGCAATACGTCAACGGACAATTGTGAATTCCAAAAAAAGTCCGTTATTTTACTCAGAGTCGCCTTGGCACGGAAATAATGTATGGTTGATTCAACCGCGTACAATGTAATTATTGCATTCTATAGTAGTAGTTTTATCTTCTAAAGTTCACATTATTTTATAAGAGAAAAGATAAGAATATTTACTATATTTATAAATAGATTAATTTTATATTTAAACTACACGCGTTCGGTACATGTAACAAATGCACATGTTTTACTGCAATTAAAATTATGTTATAAAACTTTCGATTTAATTCATAGGTGCATATACCGGGTATGTGCAGAAAAAAAAATGTTTCTATTTATTTATCTACTGTGTATTTATATTAAAGCACCTGAAATTAGAATTAAAAAATACTTTCAATGCAAGGAAAAGATCGGAGGCATTCCGAATAAATCGTTCATCATGCGTTCATCGTTCGTTCACCGTTCACTTTGCGCTCGTATTTGCGCTCCGTTCGCGTTCTGCGTTCACCGTTCACACATCGTTCACCAAGTTGCGTTCAGCGTTCGAACATCGTTTACTCACCGTTCGCTCTGTGTTCGTTCACCGTTCAGGTGGGAAAGTAGAACGTTTTAGGGACTGTATATTTAAACTACATTGTATAATTGTATTTGATGCTAGTTAACAATTGATGTTCTTGGTTTGCATAATACCTTTATAGTAGATTTAACATAGAAATAATATCTAGAATTTAAGAATATGTCTAAAATGAATTTTATTGTTAGGATAAAATTAAATTGATTTTTGTAAACAGGTAATTTTAACATTGCCGTAAGACTAGCTAATGGATCTAACCCCAGTAATGGTCGAGTTGAAATCTATCATGATGGAGAATGGGGGACGGTATGTGACGATGGTTGGGGAACATCAGAGGCTGAAGTCATTTGTACCATGCTAAGATACCCAAGGTATTTACCATGCACAAAGCAATTAGCATTTTTTAATTAAGGAGTATTGATATGTTTTGCAAATTCAGTGTTGCAGGTTTTGGTGACGTCACAACTTTTCCGCTATATCCAGATCATGACAAGGAGCACACGGCGGATTTGCATGTACTTTTCTGGTTAATATCTACTTTAAAGTGTTTATTTAACGAAAATCAAATATGAAATAAAATCCTACAAGAAATGAAATATTTTTCTTTTAATATGTTTATATTATGAATTAAATCTAGTAATTATTTATTGTAAACATAGGAGTATTTTTTGGAAAGTGATTATTCTTGTTGCTTGCAAATGTAAACAAATAAATGGATGCAGATTTTAATTTGGAATAGAATTTTAAACAACACCTGTATAAACCAGAAAATGATTTAGAAATTCTTGAGTCCCTGCTTATTGAAAAAATGAAAGTTGAAGAGTTAACTGAGGTTGTTGCCATGCAAATTCATCCAACATTTTCGCTTCTTTAATCACAGACCGATCAAGAGTTTTCTTGATAAATGACCTTACTGATAGTTCATTGTCTCCGTATCTTTCTTTCAATTGCTTCATTGCAACTTGGTACGACACGTTTCGCTTCAGCTTGGGTCATTTGTTCCAAATAATTGAAACGCTCGTCATCAGTGTTGGTGTTCATCACTACCTTTGCATGAAACTGTCTCATGAATCGCCGAAATTTTAATGGATTACAAATGTTTTTCTTAATTTCTGGCAATGGTCTTTTTAGGTAGTTCACAACCTGCATTGCACTTTGTTGTTTTGTTTCCATTGAAATGTTTGGCACAAAAACATGGGCATTCGGATGAAAATTGGGTATCAAGTTCCGCATCCATCAGTATGTTTCTGGCACAGAGTGATGGCTTAGGTATATTTCTTCAAAGTGTAATTTCCTCTTCACAAAATTAATCATTGGATGTAAGTTCACTCCTAGCTCGTATTTTTGCATTAGAAATTGCGATATGCTGACTGACGTTTTTCATACCAATTGTTAGTCCATTATTTATACACTGAATTGACGACAGATTTTTTCCGTTATTTCCTGATCATGACAACGAGCACACGGCGGGTGTGACCGGTCGGCAGGGGATGCTCACTCCTCCATGGCACCTAATCCCACCTCTGATGTTTCAGAGGTCCGTGTTTGCTCTGCTCTTATTTTGTATATTGTTTAATGGACGTTGAGATTGAATACTGTTCGTTATCTCCATATCCTTCATCTGTCTCTATATTTAATTCGTTTCTTTAACGACGCTTTGCGAGCTTCAAGTTGTGCTAGCTTTTTTTCTGTCTTAAGTTTTTCGAGGGAGACAGAAGAAGACTTTGATGATCTAGAACTTCTACTTTGTGCTTTGTTTACACTATTCACATTCATTGCTTTACTTTTCATTGTATATTGAAACGAAAAGAATGCCTCTACGTGATCTTACAGCAATTTACTGATCTCTTGTTCATTCTCTGCCTGGGTTTTCAGAACATCAAATAAGTTTAAAAAGTGTTTATAATTATCCAACCAGGAACTACTCCTCCTCTTCCTTACAAGTTTGGTGTCTCTATTCTACAGCATCAAGTTCTTTATTTGTATTACTGATGATTTAAATTTTCTAATACTGTCATGATATTCTTGTAATTCGTATGACTTGCCCTTTTCTCTAGGTATGTTTTTTGTTTTCCCTGCTTCTTCGTGATACTTCGGCCTCAGTCCTTAGTAGTATATCATCTTCTTTCATGGCTGCCATCCGGTTCCGAGTGAAGAATAATCAAGTCAATGTTGTAATGATAGGAAACTAACTATCACATTCGTTTCCCATCATTTATTTCTATGACCATTGGTAAAAGAAATGGTAAAAAAAGGGAAAAGATTGAATAAAACAAACAAAATAAACAGAAATTACAATGCAGTACAATGTATAAATGGAACTGAAATTATGCAATATTCAACTGATTGGTAATACTGAGTACAAATATATCTTATTTCATAAACTAGTAATGCATGCTAGTGTTTTATAATTTAAGTGAATAGAAATCTATAAATGACGTTAAAATATATACTGTGAGAATGTTAATTTACATCATATGCTCAAACTGAATATTAATAACCTTGTTTACTAAAAAATACAGTATACAAAAAGGTACGAAATTAACACCGTATTCAGACAAACATAAAACTAACTAGAAACGATCTCGATGCAAGCAACGAGAGGTCTTCCGTCCGATTCTGGAAAATATTCCACGTAAAATTGAGCTGAAATGTTGATAGAAGATTTTGACTCACGGGCGATTGAACCTTGGTGACCAGTGTGAAAATCCAACAAGTTATACATTACGAGCTCTTCTCTGAATTTACTTGTTTATACTTCCAAACAGTACACCAGTCTAAGAATTATGAAAAGTGTGTAACTATTCATAATTTTTCGAAAGACGCCGCGATTAAATTTACGCTTTTTTCTTTGTATTATTCTTTTGAATAGGTGTGATTGCTTCAATGAAATAAAAAAATAGAATGTTCTTATGGCCTTTATTTTATTTCGAGATTTAGAAAGTATATTTAGCACATTGTACACATTGTACACATTACATATCGTATCTAAAGCAATGAAACAGCGATTAAGTTTGAGTTTGACACAGAATTGCAACGTAACTACTACGTAACAATCCAAGTAGTTTCTTACATTATATTAATTTTATCCTTATGTTAGGAAATGAACAAGAGATCAGTAAATTGCTGTAAGATCACGTAGAGGCATTCTTTTCGTTTCAATATACAATGAAAAGTAATCTCTCGGCTGCCTTTATAAACCCCGACTTGCGAAATGGCGGAGTTGACGGAGACAGCCGCCATTTTGGACACGCTTCAGTCTTTTAAATGTTTATCTAGAGTTGAGGTTTACCAATATTTAAACAAATTCTATATTTAGCTTTTTCAAGAGAGTCTCTATTAGCATTCGAAAAAAGAAATGAAAAAATATTGAAAAACAAAAAAGGTAGAAAAAACAATTTTTTTTTAATTCGCTTGTTGGTTAGATCAGGTGCCATTGAGGAATGAGCATCCCCTGCTGACCGGTCACACCCGCCGTATGCTCCTTGTCATGATCGGGAAATAACGGAAAAATCTGACGTCAATTCAGTGTATCAATAATAGACTAACAATTAGTATGAAAAAAGTCATTCAGCATTTGACTCAATGATAAATAATTATGTGTCGTTTAACTGTAATTGAATTGCTACAAGTATATATTTTTCATTAACGTCTCTAGAAAAAGTTCCATAGCATTATCATCTGCCTTCTTTGGAGAAGGAAGTGGTAGGATTTGGCTTGATGACGTCAACTGTATTGGAACAGAGACTAGCATACACATGTGCGCAAATTCAGTATTTGGATACCATAATTGTGGTCACAATGAAGATGCAAGTGTGTTATGCTTAGGTAAGAATTCTTTATTAGAGTTTATATTTAAGTCTTAAAGTTAGTGACGTGTAATTCTCGCTGTCCACTTTTAAAATTCAATAGGTTCGATATTCTGTATACTTTACTAACGAAGACTGTATATAGAGAACAATTTCGGCGCGGTTTCTGACATCTCGAGAGTTTCAACGAAATTCCGAGAGGCCTCTAAATTTTTCATCGTCAAAAACCGGCGCTTCCGTTGCTTTCAATTTCTGTACTTGGTATTTTGGGTTTCCTGCATGTTTTATACGGCAAGTTCAAATCGATTAACGTTTGAAAGACGTTATTCACTCATTTTTTGGAGCTAGATCACACCTGACACCGGTAGGAAAAATGTAGATATTGATTTAAATCAAGTGTGAACCGAGGCACCTCCTGAAAATCCAAGATGGGACTAGGTCTCGTTTACTCTTTTTACAGACAGTAAATATGATATTTCTAAACGTGCTAATTTCAGCGATTTTTATGCCCCCGTAAACGAAGTTTCGGGGGTATATAGTTTTGTTGTGTCTGTCTGTCTCTCTGTCTGTTTGTCCGCAAAAACTTTAACCTAGTCCATAACTTTTGATTTAGTCGAGCTATGACTTTCGTATTTCATATGTGTATTCCTTGTGACAAGACCTTTCTTTGAGTTCCACCAAATTTGACCTTTTGATCTTGACCTTGGAGTTTTACCCACTTTAACATGAAAATCTTAAAATTTTACTTTGGCCATATCTTTTGAACAGTAGACATCAGAACATTTATACTTCACATATGTAATGTTTGTTAAAAGACATTTCACTGGATACCACCAACTTTGACTCTTTGACCTTGACCTTGTAGATTTTTGTACTTGTGAAAAAAGTTTAACCTTGGCCATAACTTTTAAACGGTAAGGGATAGGGCTTTCATACTTCATATGTGTTATTCTTGTGAAAAGATCCTGTATCAGTTGCCAAGAACTTTGACCCTTTGACCTTGACCTTTGAGATTGACCTATTTTAAAAAAGCAAACATTGACCATAACTTTTAAAGATTAGGGCTAGTGCTTTGATACTTTACATTTTTGATTCTTTTGACAAGACCTTTCTTTTGATAACAATAACTTTGATCCTTTGATCTTGACCTTGGAGTTTGACCCACTCTAACATGAAAATCTTAAAATTTTACTTTGCCCATATCTTTTGAACAGTAAATACCAGGTCAATTATACTTCACACATGTAATGTTTGTTAAAAGACCTTTCACTGGATTCCAACAACGTTAACCCTTTGACCTTGACCTTGTAGATTTCCGTACTTGTAAAAAAAACTTTAACCTTGGCCATAACTTTTAAACGGTAAGGGATTGGGCTTTCATACTTCATATAAGTAATCCTTGTGAGAGGACCCTTCAATAGATTCCAAGAACTTTGACTCTTTAACCTTGTGACCTTTGAGATTGACCTACTTTAAAAGAGCAAACCTTGACCATAACTTTTAAAGAGTTAGGGCTAGTGCTTTCATACTTTACATATTTAATCCAAATGACAAGATCTTTCATTTGATTAAAATAACTTTGACCCTTTGACCTTCACCTTGGAGTTTGACCTACTTTTTAGCTCACCTGAGCCGAAGGCTCAAGTGAGCTTTTCTGATCAAAATTTGTCCGTTGTCTGTCGTTGTAGTTGTCGTTTTTGTCGTTGTCGTTGTTGTCGTTGTCGGCGTCGTAAACTTTTCACATTTTCATCTTCTTCTCTAGAACCACTGGGCCAATTTCAACCAAACTTGGCACAAAGTATCCTTGGGTAAAGGGGATTCAAGTTTATTCAAATGAAGGGCCAAGCCCTTTTCCAAGGGGAGATAATTATGAATTTGTAAAAAATTAATGGCATTTTTAAAAAATCTTCTTCTCCAGAACCGCTGGGCCAGGAAAGATGAAACTCATGTGGAAGCATCCTCAGGTAGTGTAGATTCAAGTTTTTTCAAGTCATGACCCCCGGGGCAAGGGTGGGGCCAAAATGGCCGACCCAAGTTTTACATAGGAATATATAGGAAAAATCTTTAAAAATCTTCTTCTCCAGTACCACTGGGCCAGGAAAGATGAAACTCATGTGGAATCATCCTCAGGTAGTGTGGATTCAAGTTTGTTCAAATCATGACCCCTGGGACAAGGGTGGGGCCAAAATGGCCGACCCAAGTTTTACATAGGAATATATAGGAAAAATCTTTAAAAATCTTCTTCTCCAGTACCACTGGGCCAGGAAAGATGAAACTCAAGTGGAAGCATCCTCAGGTAGTGTAGATTCAAGTTTGTTCAAATCAT